ATATGTCAGAACGCGCATGTAGAGAAATAATGTTCATAAGCAAGCAGTGGGTGTGCAATCCTAATCACAAATCCAATATCAAACCATAACAAAGTGAGAAACATAATATAAGCATTAATGCACAAGATGCCAGAAAAGACACAATCTAAATTATTAAAATGACAAGTTCCTTCTGTAAATAATATAAAATAACACATTTAGTAAATAATAAATAAAGTAAATAATATTTAAATTGTCCATCCATCCATCCATCCATCCATCCATCCATCCATCCATCCATCCATCCATCCATCCATCCATCCATCCATCCATCCATCCATCCATCCATCCATCCATCCATCCATCCATCCATCCATCCATCCATCCATCCATCCATCCATCCATCCATCCATCCATCCATCCATCCATCCATCCATCCATCCATCCATCCATCCATCCATCCATCCGACCTGTAAAATAATAATCATAAGACGCTGTCTAAGACGACCTTTTTCTCTGTTACTGTTTAACACAATTCAGACTGAACTGAACTTGTCTGTCATTTATAGACCTGACACCTTCAGTCTGTTCTGTGCTGACTCATCGGAAGCCTGAGAAGAGAAGTAACAAAACCCTGGTAACAGTTTAATCTCACCTGGAGCTGCTCTGTAATAAACTGGCCTCACCTCAATGACCTCATCAGTAGTTCGGCTTCCCTCTGGCGTCCTCACCTGTCTGTGCACCTGTGACACAAACATGTCTCACGGCGATGTCATCACAGGAACAATGACTCCAGAAGGCCTTTGATTCTTTTAAATGTTTCAGCATAAGTGTACAGTATAATCCCCACTCTGCAGTTAAACATGCACTGGCCATCAACAGATATTGATCAGATTTTCACTTTGATTCTATGACTCACTGCTTGTATGAGTTAAATGCCGTGTTTATGTGGTGAAGTGGAAAGGTTCGAACTAGTGGTTCTGGTTCTATGATTGATTAGTCATTTCAGGACTCAAAAATAATGTTTTTTTTATGTTGGCCCATGTTTATGTAAATAGTTAAGATTTTTTATTTTATTTAAATTTTATATTAGCCACACATATACACTCACCGGCCACTTTATTAGGTACCCCATGCTAGTAACGGGTTGGACCCCCTTTTGCCTTCAGAACTGCCTCAATTCTTCGTGGCATAGATTCAACAAGGTGCTGGAAGCATTCCTCAGGGAGTTTGGTCCATATTGACATGATGGCATCACACAGTTGCCGCAGATTTGTCGGCTGCACATCCATGATGCGAATCTCCCGTTCCACCACATCCCAAAGATGCTCTATTGGGTTGAGATCTGGTGACTGTGGAGGCCATTTTAGTACAGTGAACTCATTGTCATGTTCAAGAAACCAATTTGAAATGATTAGAGCTTTGTGACATGGTGGAAGTAGCCATCAGAGGATGGGTACATGGTGGCCATAAAGGGATGGACATGGTCAGAAACAATGCTCAGGTAGGCCGTGGCATTTAAACGATGCCCAATTGGCACTAAGGGGCCTAAAGTGTGCCAGGAAAACATCCCCCACACCATTACACCACCACCACCAGCCTGCACAGTGGTAACAAGGCATGATGGTTCCATGTTCTCATTCTGTTTACGCCAAATTCTGACTCTAACATCTGAATGTCTCAACAGAAATCGAAACTCATCAGACCAGGCAACATTTTTCCAGTCTTCAACTGTTCAATTTTGGTGAGCTCTTGCAAATTGTAGCCTCTTTTTCCTATTTGTAGTGGAGATGAGTGGTACCCGGTGGAGTCTTCTGCTGTTGTAGCTCATCCGCCTCAAGGTTGTGCGTGTTGTGGCTTCACAAATGCTTTGCTGCATACCTCGGTTGTAACGAGTGGTTATTTCAGTCACTGTTGCCCTTCTATCAGCTCGAACCAGTCTGGCCATTCTCCTCTGACCTCTGGCATCAACAAGGCATTTCCGCCCACAGAACTGCCGCTCACTGGATGTTTTTTCTTTTTCGGACCATTCTCTGTAAACCCTAGAGATGGTTGTGCGTGAAAATCCCAGTAGATTAGCAGTTTCTGAAATACTCAGACCAGCCCTTCTGGCACCAACAATCATGCCACGTTCAAAGTCACTCAAATCAACTTTCTTCCCCATACTGATGCTCGGTTTGAACTGCAGGAGATTGTCTTGACCATGTCTACATGCCTAAATGCACTGAGTTGCCGCCATGTGATTGGCTGCTTAGAAATTAAGTGTTAACGAGCAGTTGGACAGGTGTACCTAATAAAGTGGCCGGTGAGTGTATATTATTTAATTTCCATGCATTTAATTTACATTCCTGCAATTTGAATATATATATATATATAAGCTGCTGGAAAGACTGTATAGATTGGTTTTTTTTTTTTAAATGTATTTGTTTGTTTAATTTGTCCAAAATGTATCAGTATATTTTTAGACCTTAAGCTTGAGATTTTGAGATCTTGAGATTTTAAATGAATTATTAAGTATATTTAATATACAAATTTGATATCTTGAGCTTTGGAAATGTGCTATATAAATACTTTTTTTAATGTAATTATAAAAAAGTAATACATAAAAAGTATAGGCTATAAAAAGTTTGGTATTAATATTTATTTAATGTTTATCCATACTAAAATGTTTAATATATTTAAAGACCTGTAGACCTCGCTGCACAATCAGATTACACAAAATATTTTACACCAGTTGTTCTGATACTGAGAAAAATAGAGTTTAATTTTTTGCATGTTGCTTTGCTAATTCCATCATACTGTAGTATGAGCACAAATATTGGCTAAACTTTTTTTAGATTGTACTATTGATGCAGCTATTTCTATGTTTGTTTAGATTTATTTTTATTGGAGTCAAGCTTGGTGGAACAGTGATATTTAGCTTAAGTGTTTTAGTTCATGATTGGTAGTGCCAAGTGTTTCTTTTGGGGAAACGTGGAAGAGGCTAAAAAGAGAGGGCCTCATATCAAGCTTTCACTCTTAGGCTTTCTTCTCCTTATTCCATAAAGAGAGATTTGAGAAAAACAAGCTGTTTTCTTATGCACATTCAGTGCCCAACAGATTCAACAGCCCAAAGCCTGAGTGTTTCTGACGTTTGATTTATGTCGTGTTGAAGTTTCACAAAATGGCCATTTAAATTTGCACCACTCTGATGACAGACTCAAATAGCACTCTGACGGTTTGGCCTTTTCCCATAGCAAACACTCACCAATCTCTGCACACAATCCAGCAGCCCTTCAGAGCTGAAGTCAGCGTCTCTCTGTTGGGTGAGAGTGATCTCATCCCCCGAGGTGAATTCACAGGTGTGTGTGAAATGTAAACACAGGCCGAGACCGATCGCCCACCTGGTGGTCCGTCCATGCCCATCCTCATCGCTCATCTGTCTCCAGGTGCTGGATGGGAAATGAGTGTTTTAGACTGTTTGGAAACTGGCAGTAAACTGAATCCGAGCACCAGTGGACCTTGAAGCAGACAGAAATGAGTTGAGGGGGAAGAACTGAAGCGTCCCTCACCTCTGATGTTCTCACTTCGGTCGTGGTCCTCGGTTCCTGCGTCGTATCAGTTTCGGTTCTGAGCAGACAGAGGCTGGATTTTTCCAGTGTTAATGTGTCTGAGCAGTCAGTCGGTGTAAGATGATTTCTCCAGACCCCATGGCTCGTCTCCACCGAAGTCTAACCGCCTTCCTGTGCCGCTCGCTGTCTCCAGTTTTGAACCAGAAAGCTCATATTTCTCCAGCTCAGAGGACTGAAGTATAGAAGTATACTCAGAAGTATACTTTATGCAGACGTCTTTCTGTTTTTTTGTGTCCTATAGCCTATATAAGTCAAATCAGTTCATTTTTTATTATACTGCTTTTCAAAATCCAAAAGCAGCTTTACAGAAACTTGTAAATCCCCAAATGAATGGTGTTTCTCAAAGTGTGTGTCAACAAGTTCACCTGAAATGTTTATCTCAAAGAGTGAACTTTTAACCATTTATGTGAAGATAACTTGTTGCAAGTTGGCATAACACGAATTTATAATAAAAATACCATTGTCTTCCCTTAATAATTTTAATTTAAATAAAATAAATAAGTCATATTATAGCATACGGTATAGAAAGAAAACACTCTTCCAATTGCAGCAAAACAACAGTAATCAAAAGAAGAAGAAAAATTTCTGTTAAAATAACAGTTAAAATTGAGATGTTATCAGTATTACTAATTATTACATGTATTTATTTATTTAAAATGTATTATAATATTTTACCTTTAAAATCTCATTTTTATTTTTTTATTTTAAAATCTTAATTTTATGGATTTTTAAATCATTCAAGTTTATATATATATATATATATATATATATATATTTTTATTTTTTTCTTGGTGCTCAAGAAACATTATCCTTATCAATAATTATTATCATTCTTATCACTATTAATGTTGAAAACAGTTGTGCTGCTTAATATTTTACTTTCGTGATTCTTTGATGAATAGACATTTATTTAAAATACATTTTTTGTAACAATGTAAATGTCTTTACCGTCACTTTTTATTACTTTATAGCGTTCTTGCTGAATAAAAGTATGAATTTATTTCAAATATACATTTAAGTAATGATTTATTATGTTTAATTAAGACAACTTGATTGACTTAATGTAACATTATTACTTTTCATTGTGTAACATTTAATAAATGTTCACTTTGGCAATGTTAGCTAATGCATTTAGGTATTATGAACTTATAATGAACAATATTTTTTACAGCATTTAATTAGTTTGGTTGTTAAATTTTAAATCGTATGAATTAACACTGACTATTGCATTATGAACAAACATGAATTAACAGTGAGCAATAGTGTATATTTATAAATGAACATAAACCTGGATTAACAAATGCTGTAAACAATGTTGTTCATTGTCAGTTCATGATGCCTTGACTACAGGTAATTAATCAAATTTGTGTGCTTTTTTGTATTTTTAAAGTGTATATGTGTGTGTTTCAGGTGCTGTGTAACGGTCCAGGGACGTGTGTCCCACTGTGTGCCGCTGGGCTGCTCCTGGGCGTCCTGGGCCTGAAAAGGGTCCTGATCGTCTACGTGGAGAGCATCTGTCGCGTGGAGACACTGTCTCTATCTGGGAAGATCCTCTACTACCTTTCTGACTACTTCTTTGTGCAGTGGCCACCACTGAAAGACAAATACCCTAAGTCCATCTACCTAGGGAGATTGGAGTGAGGAGAACATTTACAGAAAACCAAATTTTCTTTTTGCATGACATATCGGTTTTGAATTCATCTGAGAATCACATGAGTTTTGATACTGTTCAGTGAAGCTGACGCGAATCATTCCTATGCAGTTACTGACGTGCTAAAATACACAACTATGACAACTGCATCAGCGTTTTCTGTTGTTTTTTAATGCCAAAACAGTCACGATGGGCTGATGAAATATCGTATCACACCTTTTCTACCTTTTACGCCCTTGAAAAGTCAACCAAACGAAACCAAGAGAAGTTTTTACATGTGCAGGTGCTTTTAATTCCCTTCATAGTTTCAGCATTTTCCAACACTGCACGAAAAAGATAATAATTGGCTTGGGTTTGTCCCTTTCAAAGGTTAGACTTGTTTAGATTGTCATTCCTCATTCTTACATGTGTATGAATACTTTTTTTCCTCAGTGTTTTTCCGAAATATTGTCCAGCTCACTACACTATTCAGCAGTACTTCATTGTTGATCTCTTCCTGTGCTGGCGTGTGGTTGGTTTTAGAGGAAATGGTGTGAGTTAAAGACTAAAGATTCTCAGTAGATCTTATTTTATTGCTCTGTAATTTCCTGTTATTCTTTGTGGCTCTCTTATACCTGTAGCATGAGGTAGAACATACCCTGATGGTTTCTTTTGTTTGCCAGGACAAGTTCATGCAGGTAACTTAGTCATTTACTTCTCAGCATAGAGTTCCTCAACTGTCGATTCTGAACATCTGTGAATGGATGATCCAATCAGACATGTCTGTCAGGTATGTGATGTGATGTATAATTTGGTTATTATGAGCATGGATGGAACCTTGCAGAAATTAAAATTACATTTATTTTCTCCACAGAGAAATTGTTTTTTAATAATAACATAAACATTTCTATGCAGACTTACCATGATCTTCAAAAATAAGTGATGAAACACCGCCTGGCCAAATTGTATTTAAATAGGCAAATGCTTAAGAGTCTTGGATCATTATTGCAGTGATTATTATATTTCTAGCATGTTATGTTCGGCAACAGTTCTTCTAACTCTAACTGATGGTGTATAGCTTTTTATTTCTTAAACATCCATGTAGGAAGACGCATCATCGGCATATTCCAGGATGACAATGTCAAGATTCATGAATGGTTGGGAGGGAGCATGAAGAATCATTTTCACACATGAATTGGCTCTGAGTCCAGACCTTAAATTCAGTGAAAGTCTTTGGGATGTGCTGGAGGAGACTTTACACAGTGCTGGACTCTTGCATTGTCAATACAAGATCTTGACCAAAAATGTATGCACCTCTTGATGGAAATAACATCACAACTTTTATTTCCATAAGAGGTGTATACATTTTTGGTCAAGATCTTGATTAATCTTTGAAGCTGATTATTATAATGTAACTTAGAACTCTTTGATAAAATGATTGGTAAACATTACTGAAAACACTTGTGCTCTTTTCAGATCTTTGTAATGCCAAAACATAAGATTTTTAGGTAACTGATTAAGTAAATTTTTGGAGGAGGGGGGTAAAGACCAAATGGCCAACAGAAAAAGTGATTTAGTTTAAAAGAAACAGAAAAGACTATTGTAAATCTAGAACTAATCCAGATTGAGTTTGAAATCCTAATCTTTAAAAAAAAAAAAAACATTTAACATGCTCATGTGTATGCATTCTGTGCATCTTATCGCCTGGATTTGCAGACAATAACATGCTGACTAACCTAGTCATAAATTACAGACTCTTGTCAAGAAAGACTTGTTTTCCAAAGGAACTCTTTTATTTCTCATTGACTGACTGGTTAGTATTTACATCACAAAGCTGCTCTTATCAATATCTTTCCCAGTTGACCATCAGTTTTCAGTTTCACTCTTTATTCTATGTTGCAATTGATTTCAGTTGGCAACAGGCCTTCAGTGTCTGATAAAATACATCAAATTGTCAGGGACAACACCTGGCAAAACTCCAAACAGGCAGCTATTCTGCTTAATCTTAAATATGTAAGAGATTAGAAATATTCACAAATAGAAAGCAACCTTAGAAAAAATGTCTTCATGTTTTCTTTATTCAGCACAGGTTACATGACAGCGAAAGATACTGGTCTCTTTTGACAAACCACCTCCATGATATTGGTTTTTCACTTCAACCTTTCAGACAAAAACAAACCTTGACATTAGAGCCCCGCTCACATCAAAGCATCAATTGGTTATTTTAAGCTACTAGATGACACCGAAAATGATAATGCAGAAATTTGATCCATATAGAGCCTACATGTGTCTGTTGTGTGTTTGATTTCTGGTTATGAATTGTTGTTACTGCCTTTTTTTTTTATATCAAAACTGGTTTCTTCCCTTCAGGCAATAATAATAATAACAATCTATACTAAAGCAATGCTTTACACAAACCACAGTAACCATTTTTTAATTGTCAAAATTTTGTACCATAGTTACAGCAGTACAAGACTGGTGTCTTATTTGCTTTTTTAATTTTTCATTGTTATCTAGAAAGCACTTGGTCAGCTTCTGTTGTTGTTAATAAATTTGCCATATGTGCTATATAATATATTATTAAATGATGTAATGTTAAATAAATCATCAATAATCAGATCAGTGTACAGTCAAATAGTTAGAAATATCGTATAAAATGTTGATTTATTTAATTATATATATTAATTTTAAAACTAATTATTGGTTTTAACTATTTTTAATTGATATGTATTTTTGATAAATAATTTTGAAATCATCATTTATAAATTGTATTAATATAGTTTCCGTTTAGTTTAATATAGTCATATTTGAATTTACCTCACATGAATTTACCTCACAAATTGACTTTAGTTGAAAAAGTTACAGTGAAATGCTTTATTTGTTATTGCAGTTATCAAACTAGCAACAACAACAAAAAAACGTCGAAAAAGACAAAGAATTGATTATTACACTATACAGACAGTCGTAGATAAGCCACCGTTTTCCAGTAAACAGAAACTCGGTCAATGGTTTTCTCAAGTGATCTATAACTTCGGCCACCAAGAGCCAGGGAAACAATAGACGAGCCTAGGCTTCTGATTGGCTGTAGAGGCGCGTCAGTCCCTTCGCCCCACCCCCAAATCTGCGATAGTAGCTGGAAGTTTTTGCGCGAGAGAGTGTCTGTTGTGTGTAAACTGTCTGTGCGCGCGGATTATTCATTCACACGGACCACCGAATCATCTGTACTGTGATTTTTACTGCAGCTTTAGGACTTTACCTCTCTCATTCTCTGTTGGCCAGTTCATTGACTTCAGGACAAAACTCAAAAAGTGAATCATGACCCAGTTTAACAAGGGACCAGCCTACGGGTTATCTGCGGAGGTTAAAAACAAGGTAAACTGAACTTTATTTCTTTGTTTTGAATATTCATTTAGCCTAGGCGCAATGCATGTATACATTTGGTATGTGAGGTTCAGGTTATCCGATGTCAATTATAAGATGGGAAAACTACTGTAGGCTACCTTTTAAAAGTAGTTTATTGTTTGTGTTTGGTTTTAATGTTTTAGTTTAAACCTATCTTTTTGTTTGCCCAATGCATTATTATGTAAGACATGTTTAACATGGCCACGAACGTTACGTGGAGATTGAATCCAAGTAAATTTGAATGAAATGGCACACGTTAATAATACTAATAAGTTAATAATAATACTAATAATATTTTATTTAAATGTTTAATATGATGTATTGTGTTTAGTATTGAGTTAATTGGATAAAATGGAAAATGTACTAAGCATCCCCCAATAAAAAAGTTTCTGATTTAAAAAAATCCTTAAATGCAACATCAGAAAAGAGACATATTCTCCTCAAGTTGATCTTAGATTGCCCAGTTCAGAGATGAGCTGGTCAGAGGGTGATCTCCATGTTTTAGATTTTTAATATGACTGTCATATAAAAAGTTGTTGAGTGAAAAAATCCCGAACAAAAGTAGCAGGAGGGTAATTTGGGGAAAACATAATGGAGCATGTTTAATATCTTGTTTCTAGTGATTTATTCAGGATATTATCCCTCAAATTAATCAGACAGGATTATGTGTAAAGATAGTAAAGCCAGTGAATCAGGGTCAAGAAGGACACCCCCATTCAAATTTCTCAAGCATGACCTCATCAGTGCTAAAGAGCCATTTTAGACAAAGTAATCTTAGTTTTCAGCTCAACGGGTAAATTAAAGTAAACATTTTTTTTGGTAGACAATTTAATATTTCAGTTCTGAAGTGAGCAATCCTGGTAGGTATCTGTCCGTCTGTCCTCCAACCCCTTCGGAAGTAAGCATTTCATCTTGGAATTTTAAGCATTCCTAAAATGTGACGACATTGCCGGAACAGCTGTGATGTGTATAATCCTGTTTCATTCAGAAGAGTTCAGTTTATTGCTTTGAACTGTCAAAGTGTGCATTGCGATAATGACCTCTTAAGCTCAAAGAAACAATGTTGCTTTTTAGCCAGATGCTTTACAAGAAATATTTCACAGAAATTTTGTAATTTAATGTTGTTGTTTCAAACCCTTATGACCTTTCATCAACACAAAGAGAGAATTGCAATAAGGCTGGAGCTTTCAAGTTTCAGAAAGGACGCAAAAACACTGTAAAAACAGTCTATTTAACTTGTGTGCTAGATTTCCGGCCTTCTGAAACTATATCTTTGTGTGACAAACACACAAATATTTAAGTTGTTGTTCTCTTAAGTGAGCTGTAAACTGCTGCATCCAGAATCATTGAGTTAGTGAGTTGAACTCAATAATCAAATTCAAAGTATCAAAATTGTTTTGTAAAACTTAGAAGAACTGATTAATTCACAAATTGCTACTTTTTTTATGAAATTTTATGAAGGTGTCAATCATTTCTTCAGAAGACAGAACACGCATGATACTTTCATGTTGATTTCTTGCCATTTTAGAGCTCCAATTTCAATTATTATTGTAAAGAGGGGCCAGGATGTTGCTCAAAAATTCACTTTTTGTGTGCCGCAGCTGAAAGAAAGTCATATGAAAGTAATGAGTAAGTGATGACAGCATTCAAATTTTTGGGTCCTTTATGTGTAAAATGAAAAGCATGTGGCTAAAATTGCAACGTTGATCCTGATTACTTTCTAGTGGAAAGTAGTTCCATTACACAATTTCCCCTCTTAATCCATGACTTATTTTCCATTTTACTTGTCTGGACAATGAAAGGCAACAGGAAAAGTGTCCCTTGCATCCTTAAAGGTCCTTTTTTTAAAGAGCTGTTGATATTGGTGTGTACTTCTTCACGCGTAATACTAGTAGAAGTTGCTGACTCTTCTGGCATTTATCAGTGATTTAAAGTATATTCAGCATTTGGAAAATCCTTATATTTCAATAGCACATGTATGTTATTCATTTCACTTTTTGAGCACATACTTTTTTTTTGCTCATCAGGGCTGCATTTATTTGATCAAAATACAGCAAAACAGTAATATTGTGAAATTAAAACAGTTTTCTCTTTTATGCTGTGATGCAAAGCTGAATTTTCAGCATCATTGCTCCATTACTTCAGTGTCACATGTTTTTGTAACACATGTATATCTTTACTGTCACTTTAATGCATCCCAGTGGCTCATTAAACCTGATTGGCATCCATGTTATGCACTTTTTAATAAAAGCAAACATTTTTATGCTATTCATTTAATAAATACCTACCTCAAGCAGTATTAACCTGGAACGAGAACGTTCTTAACCATGTTTGTTTCAAACCTTTTATAGGTCATGTGATTTCCGAAGACTTGTTTGTCTCGTTTCTTGAGTTTCATCAGCACTCTTGCTCTGCTGAAAGCCGAGAGCTGTTTTCTGCCTTTGTTTTCCTGCGAGCTGAACTTTGGAAAAGTCGAAGCTCACAGTGAGATTTAAAAATGTTAGTTTCCCAGTACATCAAGCCTGTAAATGTCAACGAATCACGCCACCTTGTCAAATAGAATTATTCCTTAAAATATAACCCACAAATCACATAATAGGATAGGATGTTTTATGGGATGTTACCAATCAAATTAATGACCCTCTCTGGTTATGTAACAGCAGACACAAGGGGTCGTTCATTACGGGCTTGTTGCCAAAGCGTCATCCTCTGTTTAAATTCAGCACAGTGAAGATATTGTTCTGGCTGGTTTATTTTTACACATGGAAGAGATGTCAGTTAACAACCTATTTTTATTGTGACCATTCGTGTTACATTATATTAATCATATCAGTTGTTTTCCCCCAGGTAGTGGATAGGAGAACGGCCTTTCCTGAATGTGAGCTTTTGGAAGGCCTTGGCAATGTTCTATAGAAATGTTTTTGATATTGGTAGGTAGCTCTGTTTAGTAGTTAGTTTAATACATTGTCTTGTATGTTGCTTCCAAGACTTTTCCGTTGTCAGAACAATTAAATATGCAGGAATTCCCCCTGAAATGTTTGGACGTGGTTCAACAGACACCTTGATTCTCTCAGACATGGGAAAACTTCTTCAGACTGTGATACATTTTAATTATTCTTGGCATTCATGCTCATCTCATTCTGCATCTATCTTAGCGTCCATGTACGTCTTGCAGTTTTGAAATTACGCCAGTACTGGTCCCACAGCTCAAGCACCGGTGTCCTGGGAGAGGCCGTGGGTCAGAATGGGGAGGTCACGGTGGTTCTTGGGTAAACCCAGACTAGGTTAACCTGACGGCTTTGATCCGTCGCTCTCTAATGCCACATTCCATCTTGATCCTCGGCGTAAAAACACTTTTACTGCCATACTGTGACTGCTGATGGGCAGCCGGCCCAGTGAGGGGCCATTACATTCCCCGCGATGTGCTGATCAGCAATATTTTCTAGGATTGGACGAGGCTCTGCAAAGTGTGGCCACAGTGATTTAACCCCGTGTTGCCATTTTAGGAAGAACAGGAAAGTGTGTTTTCCTGAGGCTATTGTTTGGCGTCTGTTGTACAGCAGGATCTTATAACAGTGTAAACATTGAAAAGAAAAATCTTTAAAAAGCCTTTATCAACGTTTATACAAGGTCTGAAAGCCTTTTAGAGTGCAGAAAAAAGGTTCACAGACAACAACTTTTAGCTAAAGTTAAGAGCTTTGTGGTTTTTGTGTCACTCGGTGTTTCCATCCACAAATTTTTATGCGCATTTTGGGATATCGCATAAAAAAACTGCTGGATGGAAACACCAAGGCTGCGTTCACACTGCAGGGGCTTAATGCTCAATTCCGATTTTTTGAAAAAATTCGATTTTTTTTGCAAGGCCGTTCACATTTCCAATTAAAGGAGCTGTATGTAAGAAATGTATTTCAATTAATCATAAAATGGCCCTAATGTGTCTCTAGATATTAAGAAATCATGTTCATTTTAAATACTTATATCACTGACAACAGTAGTACGGCCACGATATTGTCATTTAAAAAGTAAAGTTGCAGCCCTCAACTGATGTTGATGTTGTCATCTTGTGTTTTGGCCTGAAGCCCCACCCTCCACCTATCTACCAATCACGAAGTCAGTAGTGTTTCGGCATCCGGGTTGCCAGCTCTGCTCTAGTTGAAAGCTCCTTGTAGCAGCCTATGTTCCTGCTGGATCCTGCAGCCTATCTGGCAACCTCGAGTCAGGGGGGAGGGGGAGGGGATGCACCGCTCTACAGTAATTTGAAAGTGATTGCAGTACCAATTTTGGCCACAATCTTACATACAGCTACTTTAAATGCGACCTTTTGTGATCTCCTGTGTGAACGTGAAATGACCCAGAAGTGACCCGCATGCGCAGAAGAGTACTCAACGGTCAATTCCCGCCTACATCAACGCAGAATTATGACGTTTGTCAAATATCAATGACGTGCGGGTCGGATACATGTGACCTGGCCGTTCAGATTGAAGTCGCAGTACATATCGGATTTGGACCACATACCCAAGTGGCCTGGGTCGCATTTGAAAAGATCGGATCTGTGTCGTTCAGACTGTCATGAAAAGATCAGATACAGGTCGCATAGGGGCAAAAAAATCGGAATTGGGTCGTTTCAGCCTGCAGTGTGAACGTAGTCTTAAGATGCGCATAAATTCTAAAAATGTGCATACAAAAACTTATGCATTTTTTTGAGTCGGATACAATTTATCTGATAAGAAAGCATGCGCATAAAGTATGATGGAAACACATTTACAGAATAAATTCCTCGATCCGCATCAAAAAAATCGTGTTACTTCATAATGGGACGGCTTAACTGGACTAACCAGTGGACCGATCTTTTTGCACAGCATCTGAAATGCTGTTTTCTGAAACGCCTGAGCAAAGTCTGTCGTCAAACTGTCTTACATGACCGCGTTCCCAAACAGCAGGCATCTACCTCCGAAATTAGTTTTTTGAGA